TTCGACGTTGATCACCAAAAAATTTCGGAAAATACACTTCCCAATCGTTTAATGTGACAAATCGTTCGACTAATATGATAATAAAATGTAACAATAATAAGTAATAAATTTATTCATTCATAAAATAATCTTCTAGTTTATTACAAATCTATCAAAAAATTTTTTGTATCAGAAGATTTTTTAATTACGTTTTGTGCCTGTATTAGTTAATGATCGACATTATCCGTTGTATCGAGATATTTTTATTATGCTCGAACATATACTGTAGATTTAAAAAAAAAATCCGCTAAATCGAATATATTAATATATCAATATGAAAAATCCGTTAAATCCGTTAAATCGAGATAAAATAATTATTATTATAGAAAGATTTGGTTTTGAAAATTTATCCGTTAAACCCTTAAATCCACTAAATCGAGATACACTGTGTATATGTGATCGACTCTGTTTGTAAATCATATGATGTGGGACACCCATCAATCATGGCGCAATAAAATGGCTCGAGGTAATAATTTTTTAATTAAAGTTCATTTTAATTAATAATAATAATAATAATAATGATAATTTTATTCAAATAATTAAATAAAATAACTAAAAGCATATAATGTTGGAGTTTTAACAAGTATGTAACTTTCCACATTGATCTTAATTTCAACTTTTTAAAATATAATAGTATTTTATATAATATATGATGTTTAAAAGTTAGTGATACTGCTTCAAAAGATAAATTAAAAGATTTAAGTGGTCCCACTATTATTGAGTTATTATCAACATCAACATCCTCAATATCAGAAAAATATAAAAACCAATTTAACATTGCCAACAAAGAAGTTGTACCAGATGATTTTACCGAAATACAAAAGGTGGTAATTCAATGGTGTGATAAGGAGAAACTTGATGTTGTGCTGACGACAGGTGGTACGGGATTTAGTGTCAGAGACATTACACCAGAAGCTATACAACCTTTATTAAATAAAACATCATCTGGGATAACTCATTTATTGATCTCATCATCACTTCAGAAAACACCATTTGCGGCCTTAAGTAGACCAATTAGTGGTATACGTGGTGAGACAATTGTCATAACATTACCTGGTAGTCCTAAAGCTGTAAAAGAAAATTTGGAAGCCATTATAAACATCTTACCTCATGCAATTGATTTAGTCAAAGGTGGCACTGGTGAAAATGTTCATACAAAATTAACTGGTAATAGTGGTGGTGGTCATGATTGTTCACATAATCATAACCATAATCATAATTATGATGATAAACAGAAAACAATTAAACCTGATTTACTTTCATGTCCTGGTAAAGATTAAATTTCTACATCATTTTTCTTAATTTATTAATTTTATTAATTTATTATTTATTTGGTTTTTTTTTTGGTGGGGAAAAAGTCACAAAACGTCAACGCAAATCACCATACCCAATGATTTCAGTTGAAGAAGCATTGAAAATCATTGAAAATGATGTTCAAGAACTATCAAAAGTTGTTATAACTGTTCCTGTCAATGAAAATTTGATTGGTTATGTTTTTGCAGAAGATGTTTTGGCAAATGAAAATGTTCCAGGGTATCGTGCTTCAACTGTTGATGGATATGCTGTTATTAGTTAGTGTTTTTTTATGTTCTCATATGCACACATTTATATTATTATAAATTTTGAATAATTTTATTTTTTATTTTTTAATTGTAGCAAGTGATGGACCAGGAATTTATCCTGTTGTGGGAACTTCTATTGCTAGTGGTATAGGATCAGAAAAATTGATGATAAAATCAGGTCAAATTGCTAGAATCACAACTGGAGGACCTGTTCCTAATGGTGCTAATGCTGTTGTTATGGTTGAAGATACTTCTCTTGTTAAAGCATCTGAAGATAATCTGACTGAACAATCTGTGGAGATCCATGTTCAAGTAAATGAAATGGTAAATAAATAGGATTTATACAATATTTGTTTGTATATATTTTGTGGTGTTATATTGATTTTAATTATTTATTGTAAGGAAAATATTAGAGAGATTGGATCAGACACCAGTATTGGTATGATTGTTGCTAGAAAAGGTGAATTGGTGTCAGCTGTAGGTGGTGAGATAGGTGTTTTGGCATCAGTAGGAGTTAAAGAAGTAATGATTTATTTTTTTATTATGTCAAACCTCAAAATAAATATAAAATAAATAATATTTTTTCTTTTTATTATTAATTATTAGGTAAAAGTTTATAAAAAAATGGTGTTTGGAATATTGTCCACTGGTAATGAAGTGATTGATTATAAGGACACAAATGAACTAAAATATGGGCAAATACGTGATAGTAATCGACCTACACTTTTGTCAATTGCAAAAGCTATTGGATTTGAAGTTTTTGATTTTGGGATTGCTAGTGATGAGTATGTGTAATATCATTATATGTGTATGAATATTTATATAATAATTGGTTATATATATATAGTGCAAAAGAGTTGGAAAAAACCATCAGAACAGCATTAAATCAAGTAGATATACTTGTAACAACAGGTGGTGTATCAATGGGTGAATATGATTTACTTAAACCTGTTTTAGAACATTCTTTAGGTGCTACTATACATTTTGGTAGACTAAATATGAAACCAGGGTATATTATTTTTGAAATTATTCAAAAGAATCAATTTGCATATATAATAATATTATTATTTCATATAATTAAGGAAACCAACTACTTTTGCAACACTTAAACAGCCCTCAAAAAAATTGATTTTTGCTTTACCAGGAAATCCTGTTTCTACCACAGTTACATTTTATTTATTTGTATTACCTGTACTTAAGAAATTGTCTGGTTATGAAATTTATAAATCTCCAATTGTAAAAGTTGAGGTAATTATTATTATTTGATTTTTTTTTTAAAAAAAATCTAAAAAATCTAAAAAAAATCTTTTTGAAAATAGATTAGAAATAATATTAAACTTGATCCAAGACCAGAATATCATCGAATAATTATAAACTTTGATCATTTGAATAATAAATTAATGGCTACATCTACTGGTAATCAAATTAGTAGTTGTATGATGAGTTTAAAAAGTTGTAATGGATTATTGCAATTGCCGGGTAGGACTAATACACAAACAATTCTTGAAAAAGGGACAATCATTGATGCTATGTTGATTGGTCAATTGATTTAATTAAATATTTTCATTATACTTTCTGTTGTTTATATTTAATTGTAATATAAAATACATAATATATATTCAATATTATTAAAATGCTTTATGTCAAAGTCAAAATTCAAAATGTGCATTTATTGTTAAAAAATACAAATAATAAAATGCAAATTAAAATAAAAATAACTATTCAATATGATCTAAATATCTTGATGTTCTTCAATCATTCTATGTTCCAACAACATTTAAATTATCTTTATCCTGAAAAGAACACAAGAGACATTGTTTATTTATCTATTAAATTATTGTTGAGTAATTGGTGGTTCAATTTTATATGTATTCTCTTCCAATAATTTTTCCACTTCAATTTTGATATGTTCTACATAATTAGCATCAACAAATAAATGATTATCGTCCAAATCTTCTATTATAAATTTGTGTTTTTCATTCAATCTATAAATCAATTGTTTAACTGTTGGGTCACTACAAATATATCACAACAAAAGAAATGAATATTAAAATAGAAAATTGGCAAAAAAAGAAAGGAAATAAAGGAAAATTAGATCTTTTACCATTTAACCTTGGCACCTTTTTTAACATATTATTATTAATATCAATGTTAATTAATACTGTTAAATAAACTAATAACAAGTAAATAAATACCTTTAACAGCTTTTACCATTTTTATTAATTTAGAACCTCAAATTTTTAGAAAAACAAATTGGGTAATTTGTATTACAAAAATTACAAAAAAGGGGAAATAAATACATTTACAAAAAAAAATTTTCATTATCACAAAATGTTTCCAATAACTGCACAAACACCAGAATATTTGGTGGTTGTAGTCCTAGAAGGCACTTATCGTCTTGAAGAACATTTCGAAACTATACGAGAGGCATACTTAGATCCTATCTTAAAGTAATTTATTAATTCTTCTTTTTTTATTATTAAATTAATAATCTATTAACCATTAACCATTTTTTAAATTAATCAGTTATTTGAAATCACCTATAATCGTTGAAAAAGAAGATGCAGAAAAGAAAGATCGAATGGCTGTAAGTATATAATTGAAAACATTATATCTATACATTAACTACTGCTAATAGTAGTAGTGGAAGAGAAAAAATAACATGTACATATTTACTTACATATTCTTTATAGCCATTATTAAATCTTGGATTAGTTATTTTTGGGGGATATGGGCGATGTTCCCGTAAAGTTACAACATCACATTATTTCAAATCAAGACTAAATGAGTTTGAAGAACTTATTAAAGCAATTGATTTTGAAGGTGGTAAAGTCTATGAAAACCCAGTTGCTGAAGGATTAGTTGCTGCCCTTGAGGTAAAAATATTATCATTATTATGATAGAATTAGTATATATCCATCAATTATATTTTCATCTTCACACCTCTATCCATCATAATAGATGTTTGATGTGTATGAAAGAAACAACAAAAGGTCCAATATACAAAAAAAACACTGTATATTGATATCAAATAGCCTTCCATGTATTGATCCTGTTCATCACAATTTGCATGACAAGTATGATATGTTTACCATGGATAATATAATAGATGAAATGAAAAAAGTAAGTATCTAACTGACTGATCAACTTATTGATTGTTTGTTTGTTTCTGAAATTTATGAATAAGTAAACTTATAAATTGAGGGGTCTATTGATAATAGAAAAATATCCGTCTTTCTTTTATAACACCTCAAAGTTGTTACAATGAGTTAGAAGATGTTGTAGCAAAGGTTTGTTCTTACATATATAATATAATATAAAGTATAATCATATATTATATATTAATATAATATATAATATAGGTAAACCATGATATAGAAGTTTACACAGCCAAGGATGTAGTTGCACCTTCACATGTAGTCAAATTAGCAGGATTTAAAGTAAGCTTTACAAAACAAAAAGAAGGTAAGATCTACTCCATCTCTTTACCATTTCATGGTATGTGATAAATGTTAGGTGGTGGTAATGAGAAATTATATATGTATTATTTAGCCAATATAGGTGTAAAAAGAAAGCCAGATGAATTGAGTGTTGAAAAAAATAATGACAATGCTAATAGCAATGAAAATATTGACCCTGCTACTCACATGGATATTGATGTCACCAATGCTAATAATAATATCAATGATTATACAACTGGTGAAAAAGCAAACAAAGGAACTCAAGAAAACAACAACCCATTGCCTCATGGTGCCAAGAGACTTAGACTTGGTTCTAATGATAATGACAATGACAATAACAATGCTATCAATGGTAATGGAAATAGTAGCAACAACAATCAAACAAATGATTTAATTCAATCTTCATCATCTACACCTTTAATTGATACAAATCAAAGCCAAAATGATATGGAGATGAATATAAATACTACTCTACCCATTCAACAATCCAGTCCTTCAAAATTGTCAAATTCTCCTGTTATCATTCAATTATCTTCACCAAATCCTCAAAGACAAAATTCTCAAACTCTCTCTGTTGAACCAAACAATACTGTTGTTCAATTACAATCCATTCAGTCCACTAATACTAATAATCTTCAACAACAAAAAACTCCTAAATTGTCATCTTCTCCTCAAATAACACAGCAACATCAATCTCCACAAGTAGCACAACAACAACTGCAGCAGCAGCAGCAGCATCAATTGCATCAGCAATTGCAACAACAGCAACAACAACAACAACAACAATTACAACAACAACAATTACAACAGCAACAGTTACGCCAGCAACAACAACAGCAACAACAACAACAACAATTGCAGTTGCAACAACAGCAGCAACAACAACAATTGCAGAACCAACAATTACGAATCCAAAAATTTCAACAATTACAAATACAACAACAGAATAGAATGAATAATCCAAATGCTCAAAAGTCTGCACAAAATTTGAATACTCAATCTTCTGGTGCTGCTCAACAAACAATTGCTCAACAAGCTGCCATGTATAAAAATTTACATAATCAACAAAATCTTGCCAATTTAATCAACAACAACAAAAACATAACACCTGAAAAACGTAGTCAATTAATTGCACTTTACAGTCGTCAAAATGCTACTGCTGCTGCTCAATTGTTAAGAAATCCAGCATTGAGCAACAGCACTCAACAACAACTGATACAACAACAACTGCTTCAGAACAAACTAACACAAAATACTGCATCCCATTTGAACATCCATACTCCTTTGCAAAATCAACAGCAGCAAACACCTCAAGTTGCATTTAATCAACAACAATTCAATAATTCCCTAACTAATTTCAATCCTTTGAGTACAGCAACAAACAGTGGGAATGGTACTAACAATAATGGTGGTATGAACAGACAAGGATTTACAATGAACAATGTTAACTCACAAAATCCACAACCTGGTACTCCTATTATTAATAATATCAACAATAATGTTATTAGTACTACAACTGTCACTAACCCTACTGTCATTAATAACAACAATAATCTCAACCTCATAAATGCTGCTACTAGTGTCAACAATTCTACAACAAATCAAATGGCAGCACAAATGATGACAGCTTCAACTAATGCAACTATTGCTACTGCTTCACCACGTTTATCAACTAATGCTGCTGCTAATGTCAATATTATTAGTCACAATGCTATTGCTACAGGATCAACAACCTCACCTTCCAATTTAAATGCCTTTTCACCTAATCCAAATGTTAATATAAATACTCAAAATGTTATACCCATGCCTCAAAAACTTATTTCAATATGGAATGGTAATATTGTGTGGAAGCAACATGAATTAAACTGTCATGTAAATGTTATCCCATATCAACTTGCAAAACACATGCCAACTGACTTCATGACTCAATATTGGCCTGAAAAAATGGAGATATCAGGAGCTATTCCAATTAAAGATATAAAAGATGCTGGAACTAGTAGTTCATTAGTGGTTTCACTACTTCCCACTCCAAATCAAGAGGATTCAAAATTCAAAGCGATAGTTGATTTTTTAGAAAAAAATAAATATGCACTTACAATTCGTTTCCCTAAAGCCCCAAATCCAAATGGTGGTATTGCTATTTTTGTAGGTTTAAAGAGAGTTTTGGTGGGAATGCTATTTCTTAATACTCCTTTACCTGTTGCTAGCACATCACAACAACAGCAGCAGCAGCAGCAGCAACAACAACAACAGCAGCAGCAGCAGCAGCAACAACAACAACAGCAGCAGCAGCAGCAACATCAGCAGCAGCAACAACAACAACAACAACAATCTCCAATTCTTCAACAAACACAGGCTCAAATCACACATACACAAGTTCCACAGATGCAAATAAAAATACAACAAAATCAGCCACAATTACAACAACAATTACAGTTACAGCAACAGATACGACAATTGCCTCAACATATGCAACAGGAATTTCAACGAAAACTTCAACAGCAGCAACTGCAGCAATTACAGCAACGGCCACAATTAATGACAAGACATTATCAACAACAACAACAAATGTTGTTACAATCAATGCAAAATCAACAGCCACAACAAAATGCAAATCAATTCTTACAAGCATTGCTGCAGCAACAACAGCAATCACCTCAACCAAACTCAAATCCTCAAAATACACAACAGCAACCCATGATTAGAATGCCACAGAATTTGTCTCAACAGATTCAAAGACTCAATATTATCAATCAACAAGGACAAAGTTCAAATTCACACTTAATCCAACTTCAATCAGCAGCAAATGTTCCAACTTTTCCATCAGATTATATAATGTTAAGACAGCAACAAATATTAGAACAGCAGCGGCAACAGCAACAACAACAAACTGCACCATCACCACAACCACCTCAAAATCAACCACCTCAATAAATATAATTCAAGAACATGTATACAGACACAACAAGTATTATCCAAAAAACTGGTGATATTATTGGTTTTATTTTTTTATTTTAATATTCAAATATAAAAATATTGTAAATAATTCTTCACTATTATATATATCTATTTTTTTAATAATATATACCTTTTATATCCAGAATCAATGAATTCTCTGATATTAGTTCAATTTTACAGTATATTAAGTATATTACTACCAACTTTTTTTAATATTTTAATTATAAAACTTTTATATATAGAAAATTTTTTTGATTTAATTTGTATCTTTCTTTGTAACAGGATAATCAATATCCACTACTGATTTTGCTCACTTTCTTTATCATCACCATTTTATTATAAATAGATTCAAGTTTAAAGGTTTCAATTATTGGCTTCTAATAATATTTTTATTTATTAAATAATTTTTAGATATAAATTTTTATTTTTTATATTTGTTTATTCTTTTATTTATAAAAATGTAAAAAATAAAATAAAATACCATATCCCAAGTAACTTTGATATTTTTAATTATGGATTTTTCAATTGACTTTGATTCATAACAAAGTCAGGGATCCTGTTAATAATAAATCAAAACTTGATGATGATAATGAGATATTCATTTGCTATTGCACTAATAGTGTTTGTACTCATAATAGAAATATCTGGATAGTGAATACCGTGGGTACTCGTTGATCATACCATTTATGGAAAGATTCGCACTCATGAGTTACAAGAAAATATTGGGCGCCTTCAAAAATTATTAGATTGAGATTGAGATTGAGATTGATTTCGATCTGCGTTCAAAAATTTCCATATTG